AAAAATTATTTACAGAAATTAAGGAGAGATTTACATGTTGATGTAAATTCAGTACGCACAACAGAAAATAATGAGAAAATAATTTCGAGTCTTATTGTTAGTGAAAATTTTGATCCCATGACATATCCTACAATGTTTCCTTATGGTGATCCTGTATAGACTGTTAACCTTAAGCATACTCAAGGTACTTGTAATTTTATTCATTTACAATTTTATATGTATCGTCTTTCATAGAGAAGAAAAAAGCGGGGATTGCCACATGTGCGTTTAATTATATTTTTACGTGCACAAATTTGAGATTCAGAAACTTTAAATAAAATGATATGTGCTGAAATCTCAGACGAAATAAAGAATCCAGAACTTTTTAACATTCTCTCTAAATCTGAATTAGTAAAAGAGTTTACTAATTTGAATTAGTGACTCACTTTTTGTTTCTGAATTAGTTAAATTTTACTAATTGTTAGTAAAAATTACTAATAATTAGTAAAATTTTACTAATTCAGAAGCAAAAACTGAGTCACTAATTCAAATTAGTAAACATTTTTACTAATTCAGATTTAGAGAGTTGTAAAGCGATTTTAAGTTCATGGGCCTTGTGGTAAACAAAATAGGAATTCACCCTGCATGGATCCTGAGATGGGTGAATTAAATATATTGCTAACAATTCAAGTTTAAATATAAAATAATTGTGTTTCTTGCATTGATACGAATCGATATAATTGTAAATAATTATAAATTATATATTATTTTTTATTAATTTTTAGAAATTTCAGCTAAAATGTGATTTTTTGAATATGTACAAGAACATGCATATAAGGCAAAATTTCTGAAATGTCCGAACAAAAAATTAAAAGTTATTAAATTTAATCCATACTTTTCTAAAATGTTGTCATTGTTGGTGAATGTCTAAAAATCAATTATTATTGAATTTGATAAAATAGTTTTTGAAGCTTTTTCGAGATATTAATTAATTAATAAAAATTAATAAAAATTGAAATATTTTATCGCAATCAGCATCCTACGAGCCCCATGAACCCCATTTCAGATGAACGGACTGTAAATTAATAATTAATAATAATTATTATTTAAATAATAAATAACATCTAAAGAATTAAAGATAAACAGTTAATTCTTTTTTTATTTGAAAGATCATTTAATTATGTGTCAAACAAGACCTATGCAAGACAAATGCAAATAGCATTTTTAACAATCTAAAGTATTAACAAATGGTTATTGAAAATCTGTCCCAGCACCCATCACGACACAACTTGTCAAAGAGTTCTTACTTACTCTGCATGGTATTTCTCAGTCTTTCTATGAATAATATTTTGTAATTAATTTTCGATTCTTAGTAATACTGAATCCTTTTTTTGACTATTAATTAATAGGGCTCGTTGGATGCGTATTGCGATAAGCTTTGGAATGGTATTTTAAATTATTCTAATTTTATTTCTTCGTAAATATTTCATTTTTTATTAATTAATTAATATCTCGGAAACAAAAAAATTAGTTATTCGACAAATTTGACACATGTCTTTGGCTCATATTAAGGAATGTTCATGAATTTTTTCAGCTTAAACGAAGCCCGATAACAAGTTTAAAAATTAAAAATAAATTTTACTTTTTAAATAAATAATTTAAAAAACTTTTATTTTTCAAAATTAATTTTTTTTCTTAAACTTCAATATTTTCTGAGCAAAAAACGTTTAAGAAATTTTTTTCCAGAACTAAAAGTGAAAAATTTATGAGTAATTGAAAAAAAAGTTGGACTACCCAGGCGCGAAGTGACGATGGGTTGAGTCTTTATAAAGATTGGCTGAGCATTGGCAGCGGCGTAGCTAGGACCAGCGTCACCCGGGGCGATTCAGCATAGTGTCACCCCCCCCCAAAAAAAAAGAAACCAAAATTATATTAAAGTGATCAAAAAACTACTATTTGGAACTATAAACTGAAAGAATTAAATTCTTTTATTTTAAAAAGTACATTAATTAAAGCTTCAATTTTATATAAAACATTATATATTCACAAACAGATACTTTATTTTAAATCATCATAAATATATTTTTTTAATTAAACTGAACTCTTCTAGCTTTAACAGCTGCAAAATCATTAATTATTTCATCAAAGTCTATGTTTTCAGATGCTTCTTTTTCAATAGATAATATGGCTAGATCGTTTAGCCGAGTCTGAGACATCGTAGATCGCAAGTAATCTTTTATTAGTTTTAGTTTAGAAAAACTTCTTTTACAACCTGCATTCGATACGCAAATTGTTAACAATCATTTTAATGACAGAGTTAAATTAGGCAATGATTCAACAAAATCCCATTTTACAATAAAGTTTAAAAAATCTAAAGCGTTCCAATGGTTTGCTTCCAATAAATCCACTTTAGCTGCTTTCAAATGTCTGCGAAACTTATAGGAATTTCCAACAACAGCTCAGCTTCTACTACTTCGTCGTAAAAATCAGTGAGTTTCCTTACTGTGTCTTTAAATTGTTCTTCGCTTGCATACAAAAGATTTTCTGTTTGAATAGCTTCAAACTTCGATACTATATCTTGAATAGATTTTGATCTCGTTGCGATTTCTGAATGAAATCGATCTAAGCATTCAATCATGGATCTTCTAATTTCTGCTTGCAATGTGAGGCCAGCATCATTTGCTTGCTCTCTAGCCATTCTCTTCCTGAAGCGAATTCTTCTTTCTGTTTTAAGGCCATACTCCTCTGTTGTAAGCAGAGCACGATCAATGGATTTGTCAACAAGACTGTTTCGTTCTTCATGGACAAAAAGTCGAAGCGATTCCAATTTTGCTGATACTTTATCGAGACTTGAAGCTTTTGTTTGCAAGTATACATGCGTGCAATCAATTTCTTTTAAAATCTCCTTCCAAAAATATAAAAAGCAAAGAAAAGTGAAATTACAGAAAGCAGATAAAAGGCTTTATGCAGAACCTCTGGTATCTACATTTTCTTGAGGATCACACAGTTCTTTGATTGCTGCAATAACTTTATCAAAATTTTCTTCGACGGCTTTTACAGCAGCATAGTGAGCACTCCAACGGGTTGTTGATAATCTTTTGACGGAACAGTCGCAATGATTTTGTAATACATCCCATCGATGGGTAGATGCAGAGAAAAATGCGAAAATTTGCTCTAAAGTTGCAAAAAATAAAACACATAATGCATTTTCAGCAAAAGAATGTACCCCACATAAGTTGACTAAATGATTCACACAACCGTTAAAAAGAGCTTTTTCATTTTTTGATTTTATGATGGCTTAAACTCCGCCATGTACTCCACTCATAACAGCAGCGTGATCGTAACCATGACAACGATACATCATTATATCTAGACCATCACTTTCAAGATTGCCGAAAATTTCTGAACTTAAATCTGAAGCCTTTTTTCCTTTCAACGGGAATAACCTTAAAAAAACTTCTTTGATTTCCACTCTTCCGATATCAATTTTGACATACCGAATTACTTCTGACATTTGATCAACATATGAAATATCAGGAGTGCTGTCAAACATCATACTATAATAACCAGCGGATTTGATTTCTTGAATAAGTACGTTTCTAACATGGCTATTTAGTTCTTTTTTACTATTAGTCGACGATACATGACTGTCGAAAGTGTTTTCAGCATCAGGCGTCGTAATTTGAACGTCATGATGATTTTCTTCAACTTTTACATACTTCAGAAGGGATCCAGAAATACTTTTTATTTCATTCAGTTTTTCCTTTTTATCTTTTCTTTGCTGACAACCGCTTTTTCTTTTAAATGTATGTATTCCTTGAGGCATGATCAACTTAATGCTGGCACTATACCAATAAAAAATTAAAATTTTACTATGACCCTCATTTGTTAATATGGAACGTATAGATATGTGTAAAAATAATAATATTAAGTAGTATCACTTATCAGGATTTTCACATTTGCAAATAAACTTACTTATAAATAATTGCTTTAAATAATTTATATTGCTGTGGTTATGGAAAGAAAACGAAAACAAATAGGTTATACATATTTTCATGAACATCTGTTTATAAAATGCACAGATGTAAAACGCTGTTTTCTTCTGAACATTCCTGACCATAGAATCTTTGATTTTAAATAGATGCATCCAGCAGTATGAAACCATTTAAAGGCGCATCCTCAGTTTGAACAATATTGCAGGAAATTCTTATTGATAGAATGATACGCAGACGCATAGTGTTATTTCATCAACATGGAAAAAATCTCAATTCGAAAACAAACTCAATTCCTCAAGGTGCAATTTTCATAAGATTGAAAAGGATAGGCTATTTGAAATATAAATAACTCATTAAATAATCTGATTTAATACAATTTCATGCCAAAAGAGTGCAATTGGCCAATGAAAATTTGCAAAATGTTAAAAACTAATCAAAACTTTTTTCACCGATAGATGGTGAGAGGGTGACGCAATTTTCTTTCTAAAAAAATTTATTTTAATTCAAAAAAATTTTTTTTTTAATTCAAAAAAAATTTTTTTATTGACTGAGTGTCACCCGGGGCGGACCGCCCCCTCCGCCCCCTTAGCTACGCCGCTGTGTCAGCATTGGTCAATATTGATTGAACCTTGGTGAGACAGTGGAAGTAAGGCTGCTCCAGTCTAGAATGTAACACCTAACTAAGCTTGACGCTTGAGGCTGGGTCCAAGACTGAATCAATCTTGCCAAAGTCTGATCCAGGCTTGGTCAAGACTGCTCCCACTATACTTACTATTCCCGCGTTCAATAATTTTCAATAATAATAATCTTCTATTATATTATGTTAACAAATTTCGAAAAACGACACCGACCCAGTGACCTCGACACCGTCCTTGAAAAATCTATTTTCAATTATTTTCAAATAAATCAAAATACTTTGCTTATATGCTTTTAGAAAATCTTAAAAACTATTTTTATGTGACATCTTTTTTGAATTTTAACCCGATAAACGGTTATTTTTCAATTTTAACCAGAAAAAGGTTTAGTTTGCAATTTTATCCCAAAAAAGGGTTATTTTGCAATTTTTTAAGAATTTTTTGATTTTTTCAATTTTTTATTATTTATTGTTGTTTTTTCAATTTTTAGTTAGTAACCTATAATATTGTGTCTAATTTAAAGTGTCATTAAAATCAAATGTTTTTAACTTAATAATTTTAACATTTCTTAATTTAAAAGGAAACATCTTCTATTATATTAAGGTAACAAATTTCGAAAAACGACACCGACCCAGTAACCTCGACACCGTCCTTGAAAAATCTATTTTCAATTATTTTCAAATAAATCAAAATACTTTGCTTATATGCTTTTAGAAAATCTTACAAACTATTTTTATGCAACATCTTTTTTCAATTTTAACCCAAAAAAGGGTTATTTTGCAATTTTTTAAGAATTTTTTGATTTTTTCAATTTTTAATTATTAATTATTGTTTTTTCAATTTTTTGTTAGTAACCTATAATATTGTGTCTAATTTTAAGTGTCATTAAAATCAAATGTTTTTAACTTAATAATTTTAACATTTCTTAATTTAAAACGAAACATCTTCTATTATATTAAGTTAACAAATTTCGAAAAACGACACCGACCCAGTGACCTCGACACCGTCCTTGAAAAATCTATTTTCAAATATTTTCAAATAAATCAAAATACTTTGCTTATATGCTTTTAGAAAATCTTACAAACTATTTTTATGTAACATCTTTTTTCAATTTTAACCCGAAAAAGGGTTATTTTTCAATTTTATCCCGAAAAAGGGTTATTTTGCAATTTTTTAAGAAATTTTTAATTATTTTAATTTTTTATTATTATTTTTTATTATTTATTGTTGTTTTTTCAATTTTTAGTTAGTAACCTATAATATTGTGTCTAATTTAAAGTGTCATTAAAATCAAATGTTTTTAACTTAATAATTTTAACATTTCTTAATTTAAAACGAAACATCTTCTATTATATTATGTTAACAAATTTCGAAAAACGACACCGACCCAGTGACCTCGACACCGTCCTTGAAAAATCTATTTTCAATTATTTTCAAATAAATCAAAATACTTTGCTTATATGCTTTTAGAAAATCTTAAAAACTATTTTTATGTGACATCTTTTTTGAATTTTAACCCGATAAACGGTTATTTTTCAATTTTAACCCGAAAAAGGTTTAGTTTGCAATTTTATCCCGAAAAAGGGTTATTTTGCAATTTTTTAAGAATTTTTTGATTTTTTCAATTTTTTATTTTTATTTTTTATTGTTGTTTTTTCAATTTTTAGTTAGTAACCTATAATATTGTGTCTTATTTTAAGTGTCATTAAAATCAAATGTTTTTAACTTAATAATTTTAACATTTCTTAATTTAAAACGAAACATCTTCTATTATATTAAGTTAACAAATTTCGAAAAACGACAGCGACCCCGTGACCTCGACACCGTCCTTGATAAATCTATTTTCAATTATTTTCAAATAAATCAAAATACTTTGCATATATGCTTTTAGAAAATCTTACAAACTATTTTTATGTAACATCTTTTTTCAATTTTAAGATAAATTTTATACAATATTAATAAGATATTAATTTAAAACATAAATTATATATATAATATACATAAACTACAATAAGTAAACAACAATAAGTTTAATTTTAACCGAGCGAGCGAGGAATACATCGCTAGTAATCCTATTAATATTACGTATTATTATAATTATAGATAAAATTATAACAACATTAGTATTCATTAATAATATAAATTTAATTTATTAATAATAAGGAGATAAGTTGTATTGGAATCTTAAGTCAATACAGCTTATCTCCTTTAATTATTATTAGTAATTTCTAAAAAAAATTATTATTATTTCATTAATTTAATCCGAAGTTTTTTTTCTTATTTTTGTTACATCACTTAAGATTAATTAACAACACCTGTTGAAATAACACCTAATCTAATTTAAAAAATCTCACTCGCACTGGGACACCGAACCCACGACCTAACGCACAAGAAATACTGGTGCAAAGTATTTCCGTGCGGGTGCGCAACACCTAAATTTTAGAAGCATGCACGGCAAAATCCCGTGCCTAGCACTTTCTTTCTCGATGATCTACAGTTTGTTTTAACCTGTCACTTCGTACACCGAGATTATAGGTGCAACCTTCTTTCCGTGTACGCTCACCACGGGGCCACGCTGGCTACTTGGCGACAACCTGCTAATACCGGTGATGTTTATGGCGCGCCTTTATGCGAAATTTAAAATGTTTTTATCGTTAAATTACTTATACACTGGAACGCCGGTTATTAGGACAGCTCGGGTGTGTGTCCGAATAATCTGGACAGGTCACCTTGACGAAAAAGCATAAACTTACAGGGCTGTAAGAAGTTTTTTTTGCCTTCGATTAAAATACATAACCAAAGTTTGACAGTTGAACAACAATTTTGAGGTTAGGTGCATGAGATGTGAGAAAAAAAAATATTAATTACGTGAGAAATATTAATTGTTTTTTAGAAATAAAACAAATTTTACTTAGCAAAATTGTTACACAGCTTATTAATTTTTATCATATTCATATAACACCAATAAATAATTGGAAAATAATACATTAAATCAAGGCGGGGAACGGACTCTTTAATAGATGCGCTACTGCGTGCAGAGATACTTCCCTATTCTCCTCACCCCGTTTTAGCGCCTAAGATTTCCAAAATAATCCAGTGTCCTAATAACCTGCGTTCCAGTGTATATATTTTTAATAAAATTATTTTAATTTATATATTGCTTTAATTTAAATAAATTATATTAAATTTTTTTTTTATTAATGGAATAAAAAAACTTTGTTACGAATTTATAAACTTTTATTTTTATTAAATTAATAACTTATATATTTATAAACACAATAAAAATATAAAATAAAAGCATAATATATTCAACATATATTTGAAAATATAATTATAGTAAATATTGTTTTTTACGTGATATTAAAGATTTATCATCTTTATAATGTATTAAATAATAATTCTTAAATTATTACAATATTATAGGTACATATATTATAATATATAATAATACATAATAAAGATAATAAATTATTATAATATAATCTAAAAAAAACAAAATTTATTAAAAGAAATTATTTTCAAAAATGTGTTGAATATAATTATTCTGATTTTTATTGTGTTTACAAATAACAGGGTGTCTACTAAAAATCTGAATTAAAATTCCAGGACTTTCCAGGACAAATTTCTTATTTTTCCAGAACATTAAAGTGGATGATCTTAAGAAATAAAATAATTTTTAGTTTAACTATTGTTGTCAGAAATTTAATTAAAAAAAATTTTTAATAAATATTACAGTAACATTCATAAGAATTACATTACGTAACTTAAGTAAATTTTCATTTTACTTATTTAAATAATTTTTTTAACTTGATTGACAAAATTATAAATTTTTGAAAATTTAAGAGCAAAATATAAAAAAGTTCAAGGACAAAAATTAAAATACCAGGACTTTCCAGGACATTTTTTCAAATTTCAGGACATTTCCAGGACTTCCAGGACTGGTAGACACCCTAAAATATAATATTAAAAATATAATATAAAAATAAATAAATATAATAAGTTGGTAAATTTGTGACAAAGTTTTTTCTTCATTTGAAAAAATAAATTTCAAAAATTTATAAAAAAAACAAAGAATACTTTCATTGAAATAAATAGCAATATATTAATTTAAATAATATTAATTAATAATTATAAAGTATATTAAGTTGTAATAAGCGAAAATTGTAAAAAATATATTATTTAATTTGTATTGAACGTATATAAATAATTACTCAATAATATTGTATTTTATACAACATAATAATTAATATTATTTAACCTGGTAATTTTTTTTATTTTCAGATGAGTTGCATAATATTATGTAATATTTAATCAAATAATTACTATTTTTGTAAACTGCCGCCTGCATAGAGCAGCCAACTAAAAATTCCCGAATGAAATACTATATCATTTCCTATATGTAAATTCATGTGAAATCTTAGGTTACAATTTCAGAATCTACATGGAATCTTATATGATTTCCTATGCTTAAATCCATTTGTTTTTTCATGTGTAAGAATGCACATGAAATCATGTTCTATTTCACATGTGGATTCCCATATACTTTCACATGTGGATTCCCATGTGGTTTTCCATATAGTTTCTCATGTGGTTCCCCATATAGTTTCTCATGTGGTTCCCCATATAGTTTCCCATGTGGTTTCCCATATAGTTTCCCATGTGGGGACTTTCAATAGGGCGAAAGAGGATTTGACATGGGAAAATTTTTCAAAAAAATGATAAAGGATTTTACATGGGAAATGACATGGGAAAACGTTTTGAATTTTTTCCTATGTCAAATCCTCCCTGTGGGCCAAAAACCATGTTTCATGTCCACCAAATAATGTTCTAGAACATTATTTGAACATCCATGTTCTTAAAATGTTCCAGAACATTATTTGGCGGACATGAAACGTTCTAAGAACGTCCTTAAAACGTTTTTAGAACGAACATGGTTTTTTGCCCACAGGGCTGTTTCAATTTTCCATGGGGATTTATATGGGAAACCATATGGGAGTAGGGTTTTACATAGTTTTTGACATAGGAATCCTATGTCAAAACAGACGTTTTGGATATCGTTTCCGAGATACTCCGAGAACTCGATCGTTTTTGTGTTAGTTTTCGGGACGAGACGATTTGATAAAAATAAATAAAAACTCGAGTTGTTATTTAAAAAATGACAGTTAAAAACGAGAAATTTCGCGCGAGATAATCGATCTTCTCGTATCGTTGTGCATCACTAGTTTGAATGTTGTTTCCTATTGTTGTTATTTGCGTAGAATCGCTACAACCCTAGAAAATTTATTAGAAAAATAAAAAAAGAATGTAATTACAAAAAATAATATACTCCTGATTTAAAGGTTTTTAAGTATTAACAGAGATTAATGAATAAACAAGTTGATACATTTCAGAAAACTTTACCCTATTGCAATATTTTAAATATTTTTTTTCAAAGTATAATGTTCACTGTTTAATTAGCAATAAAAATTAATAGCGAAAGTGTTTCTGTTTTATTTTTACGGACATTTAAAAAATGTATAGCCATCTATACCATCTAGACTTACCCTAATTGCTTTTTTTAACGTAAATCCACTTTTTATTTTTAAATTCATTAAAACGTCAGGCCTATTCAAATTTGAATACTGAATTAAATTAATTTTATACAGCAAAAATATATAAAAGTTAAAATAAAAAATAACTAACCTAAATTATTTTTAAAATAGAAATTTAAAAACATAGATTCAAAATATTTAAGGAAAATTATAATAAATTTCAAAAATAGAAATAACAAACATAACGTTAACGGGCAATGTTTTAATGATTTTAAAAATAAAATGTGTATTTATATTAAAAAAAACAATTACCATCTTTACTTAAAAAATTTAGTTAATTCATTAATTTCATTGATAGAATTTAAAATCTGGAACTTCCATTTATTTAAATTAAATGCATAGTTTTTGTTAATATTTATTATATACTGTAATTTGTAATTATTGTTATTAGTTTTAATTTAGTGAGTTTTTAATTGATGCTTAAAATTTTTTAAAAATAGATATTCACTTTATTGTTGTATAGTAATTACAGTCAAGTTAAAGTATAATTAGAAAAACTATATTTTAATATTTTTGTAGTACCTGTACATTTTCAAGCAGATCTGATTGAATAGGAATAAAATTTTAGGATTTAATAGGATTAAAATTTGGCTTCAGACTGATGCGTAAATAGTTTTTGCTCTGAAAAAATGTCGGAATACCTCGGAATAATACTTGTCAAAATTGATCGAACAACAATCCAAAATTTATGTCAAAATATTCTATCATATCAAGTGTATAAGAATTGATATTTATATTCTTGAAGCCTGTTGAGAGCAGAGAAAGTAGATACAGTTTATTAATGCAAATTAATTAATTTCTTTTACAAAATTATAATTTATATAAATATAGTATGTATATAAAAATAGCAATACAAATACAACAATTATAAAAAATTATATAAGACATCAATAAATATCACCGCTTTGTGCGCTCAAGGCCTAATTAATGTTTAATTAAATGTACAATTATACTGGACTAGTAATTGACTAGGACTGTATATCCCATCAAATGACTTTTGATTGAGTATGGTCTTCATTATTTTTTAGTATCACATTAAGGTTGTAAAAGGGAAATCGGTGCGATGCGACGGTGACTAGGCAACATATTTGCTAAAGGATCTATTTCCTACTAAATAGTGCATACATCTATCTTAATCCGGAAACAAGATTCATCATTTGAATTATTACACAGCCCCACAAAAAAAAAAAAGTGTCATGTACTTTTGACCGGAATACCCTAACCCTATGTATTTTGACGCGCTGAACACGAATCCGAAGTCCGTTTTGCTCCATCACGTCAGGATTTTTTTCTAACCTCAAAAAACAGTCGGATTTTGAGAAGTAGGCGATTTTTTTA